TTTAAAATCAGGTGAATACTTTTAATTTTGGATGTTTGTGTGAATAATCATGATATATTTTATTGTATTATACAAATTAAAAACATACAATAATATTACAAAAATATCGATTTCATATGTTTCATGTCAAAAAGAGAAACATTTTGGTTAGCTTAAACACAGATTTTTAAATGTTATATTAGTTTTTAGAATTATTATTGATGATGTATCACATTAACTTACTATATCTACAATCTACATATTACATTGCAATGTGTGATGTTTAAATATTAATTTTATTCATTTAAAAAAAAGTATTTTTCCAACTTTAGCATGAGTTTTAAATTTAAAAATTTATGTTAATCAATTAAATCAAAATGTTTTGTTATTAACTGAAAATGTTCAAAGTAATACATTTAAAAAAACATATTTAGCATTAAATTTTACTATAGTTATTTATGTATTTATATTTATTTAAGATATTGACAACCAAAATCAAGGTGTGTTTATGCATAGTGGAACAGTTGTAAATGATCAAAGTAAAATGAGTGCTAATACTAGTCAACCAAACCAATATAATTTAACGTTTACTGAAAATGTTCAAGGTTATATTACTTGGCAATAAGTTGATGAACTTTAATAAAATATGTTGATTTATTTACTGTAGATGTAGAACTTCAAATGATAAATATTTCTGATCTGAATTCTGACATAGTATTTAACAAATATAAAATAAGTGATCCATACTACTGGCCAGAAAAAATTAATGACAGTTTCAGAGAATATTGTATTCAGAAAGGACCAGAGTTTTTTTCAAAATAAGAATGATGATTTCAAACAGTCTGCTCGTATATATAGTATTTTATTTATATTATATAAGTAGTTTTATTTAACAAATAATGAATACAATTATTTTATTTTTGTATACTTAGATCATAAAAGGTTATTTTCGGCTGCCATGTTTAAACGAACACTACCCAATGGTGAAATTGGTGATCGAAAGTGGGTAATGTACTCAAATAAACAAGGATCCATTTATTGTTTTATGTGTAAATTGTTTTCAAGTCGTATAAATAGTCCTTTTGTTAGGATTTGATAAATGGAAGAAGTATGAGAAATTATCACAACATGAAAACAGTATTGATCATAGAAGTGCATTTACAAAATGGTTATTACGTTCAAATTCTAACCATTTAATTAATAAAGATATGTTTGAACAAATATCAACAGAGACTAAATACTGAAATGATGTTGTGATTCGTGCGATTTCTGTTATTAAATTTCTCACATCTAGAGTGTTATCATTAAGAGGTGATAATAAAGTATTTGGTGTTTCTAATAATGGCAATTTTCTTGGTATATTGGAACTCATTTCTGAATTCGATCCATTTTTAAAATTCACACATAGAACAGTATGGTAACAAAGGAAAAGGACATCGTTCGTATCTTTCTAAGACCATATGCAATGAAATAATAATTTTACTACAAAATAATGTTATACATTTTATATTGGCTCAAATAAAAGAAGCAAAATATTTTTCTGTTATCATGGATTCCACACCAGATCAATCTAAAATAGATCAGATGGCTATTGTGATTCGGTATTGCACATTGACAAGTGTTCATGAAAGATTAGTTCAATTAAGTCCTATCAAAAGTCATACAGGTGAATCAATATTTGTAATTTTAGAAGAATTTCTAGAAAAAAATGAACTTAATAGAGCAAATTGTCGCGGGCAGTCGTACGACAATGCCTCCGACATGAGTGGAAAATGTAAAGGATTACAAAGTTATGTAAAAAATAAATGTAATTTGGCTGTTTATATAGCCTGTACGGTTCACTCCCTGAATCTTGTTGGTGTTCATAGTGTTGATTATTGTATATAAGCAGTCAGTTTTTTTGGATTTCTTTAATGTATATTCAATTTTTTTAGTGGATCTACTCATAGATGGGACATTTTGACCAACACATTAGATAAAAATGTGAAAGGTCGATTGCTTGTACTGAAATCGCTTAATCAAACTAGATGGTCTTGTCACTCGGATTCTTGTCAAGCACTTACTCATAATTACATAAAAATAATAAAAGCTTTAAAATGTATCAGTGAAAATAATAATGAAAACGGAGACTCAAAAGGGATGCTAAATTGCTTTTAAAACAAATTAAAAAAAAAGAAACTGCATATCTATCTTTTTTGTGGAATGATATATTGGATAGGTCTAATAAGACATCTATACATCTGCAAGACAGTTCTTGTGATCCATTGAACGCTTTGAATTTATTAAAATCTTTGAAAAAATTTATTTTAAATTTAAGAAACAGTAGTGTAGTGTATGAAAATAAAGTTATTGAACTTGGTCCAGAAATTAATAGTCTTTACCATAATGAAGGAAGAAGAACATCAAAAAACAATGTAGATTTCCGTGGTTTAAATAATACTGTATTACAAGCTGGCGATAAGTTTAGAGTTGAAACCCACAACATCATCATAGATCAATTTTGTTCTGAATTAGACAAACGAATTGAAGCTTACAAATTTGTTTCAGATAATTTCTTATTTGTTACAAAGTTATGTGTTCCAATTGATGACACAATTAATGAAGAAAAAGATGTTGAACAAAGTATTGAAAACGTTATATTGACCTACAAAGAAGATGTAGATATTTACATAAAAAATGAAATCAAACAGTTTCAAGAGTATTTTTCTTTATGTAAACCGTCAGTTCAGAATACTGAATATTTTAGTATACTTGATCTTTGGAAATGGTTTAATGAAAATGAATTAATTGATGTCTTTCCCAATTTATATATTGCACTTAAAATTTATTTAACTATACCAAGTTCAAACTGTTCAGCCGAAAGAGCTTTTTCAAAACTGAATAGAGTTAAGAACAAATACAGATCGACATTAAACCAAGAAAATTTGACTGCACTTATGATATTGGCTTCTGAAAATGATATTCTTCAAACAATTAATAATGAAACAGTTATTGTTTGTGTCAACGGGTTCCTTGCCGTGCGGTTGACCCGAATGACGGCAACACGTGCCCAAACTACCCAAAGGAATAAAATGGATTTCGTAAGACAGAACGGGTAACTTACTATAATTATAATAATAAAACAAATAAGACTATGCCCTTTTGGTAAATGACGGCCGTAAAGCGCCGACGTACTATTACAAATCGATACTAAAGATATACAATATTAAGGACGGGCGCCCAAGGGGTGGGAAATGTAAATCTAATAATAATAATAAATAATAATAATAAAAAATATGAATAAAAAAAAAGTTAACAATAATTATTATGAACAACACCCGAGTTAGGTCACGCTACGTGTCACCGGTTTCGAACATAAATACCTCGGTCGGTCTTATGGTCTGTGTGGTTGCGCCCACGCGACCGTGCACACAGCACGTGCGATAGCCACCAAGACCGACAGATGTTGACGACTTCGGAAGCTCACTGGACGCGACCAACCTCGACGACGATGACACTGCCGATGGCTTGAATGGCGATGTGGAGACGACAAGCCACGCACACGAGGATGACGGACCACGGCAAAAGGGGTAATACACCCGGCGGTAATATGCACGACGGCAACGTTATACGTCCGGCGGCAATACGCACGACGGCAAGAGAGAGGTTATACGCCCGGCGATAACACGCACGACGGCAAGAGGTCCGTACCGCACGAGCGAGCCCAACACGACAGACGGCAACGACCTGTTTTTGTCGCGAGATATCACCCGAGCCAGTCAAAGGCCGGGAGGGGAAAAATGCTATTGCCCAGACCCATACATATCCAAAAGTCAGATAACAATGACTGGCCCGAACCGGCACGGCGTGTATTAATTGAACAGTTATTAAAGAATTTTGTCAAACAAAAGCGAGAAAAAAAATGGTTAAATTATAATTATAAACAAAATTATACATTATTTATTATTTATAACTATGTAATTTATGTTCTACTCGTATATTCATTTATCTATTATAATAGGTAGGTAAATAATAATATGTACATTATTTTTTTTTTGTACAGCCACAGGGGCCTCATTTAAAACTTTGGCCCCTGGGCCTCAAAATGTCTTAATCCGGGCTTGGGACTAGGTAAACAAATATATTGTTGCGGGCATACATAAATGTAGGTCCTTACGACTCATACCACATGGGTGGGACCACGTAAATCATAAATAGAAGAAATCGGGATTATTATTAATATAATATTCGCATTCGTATGAATAGAAAGGAACTATTAAGTTAATTAGAGGGCAATACGATGTTTCGGACATACATAAAAGCAGGTCCTTACATTTACCAATAAATAATTAAAATCGATGAGCAACGTAGAAAGGAATAATTAAAAACCGAAGGTATCATCGAACTACATCTTTTAATTACTGCAATTAATAAAAACGCATATGAGAGATTTGCGAATAGTAATATTAACAAGGTCACTAAAGTAATAAATCTTATATTTATAATAATCGAAAACAACTTTCGCACAGCGCGGCACGTTTGATCCTCACAACACCTAAGTATATAAGGGGGTTGGGAATAGACCAATATTCAGATGTGAATAGTCGCAAGCAACTTCACGCCAGATCATTTTTTAAATATTGTTTTGTTAAATATTGTTAAATAATAAGCAATTTAAAATAAACTGTTAGTGAATTATCTCAGGAGAAACATTATAATAAGCAGTAGTTGGGTTTTTATATTTTATATTTTTGTATTTTATTTTCGATATAAGGATTTTTGTAATTTTACGTTGGTTACGTCGGCTAGGTAAAAAAAAACTTTTTAATTATTATTATAATAAGGGAAATTTATTTTTCTAAAGCAGTGGTTTCCTACAATCACGCGTGCGTGATTGCGCGGTGCGCGATGCGCGTTTGCGCGATTACGCTTGCGTGATGCGTGATGGAAGTGTTTTGCTACGATGCGTGTTTACGACTGCGTGATTTGGAGTTTAGAAAAGTGTCGTCACTTCGTCAGTTGATGTTTAGTATTACATCAAAATGGACGTAGTTATGCTTTACAATATTTTGGAGGATGAAGCAGATGAAGAACTATTGCTACTTGCGAATCATTTCCGTAATGAAAATGATGAAATGTTTAGTCAACGGAGCAGGGAGGGTTGTTTCAGTACTTTAATTCAAAGGCGCCTAATTGATAATGAAACTAGATTCAGGGCATATTTTAGAGTGTCATTTGAATTATTTAATTATATACTAAATGTTATTATTGAAGATATAAGAAGGCGTCCAAGTAATCGGATTAAGAAACCAATATCACCGGAAGAGAAACTTAGCGTCACTCTAAGGTAAGTAAAATTATTGTACTATAGGTATATTTATCAAAATAAGAAAGGGACAATAAATATTTAGGTAATTAATCAAAGGTAGATAATCAAAATTATCATTTACGGCCATTTCTGAGTAGTTTGTGTTGTCATTGCAGGCTTTTTTTTCTACTCAAATGTTCGATGTAGTTCTGAAAATAATTACACATAAAAAATACACATAAACATAAAATGTATTGATTTTACAACTGCGTTTTTTAATTGTTTTCTATTTTTTAAAAAAAATGTACAAGTAACCTTACAGATAAAAATTCATAACATTTTTATAATCCTTATCTAAGGTTTAAAAATTCAATACAATATAATACATAATAATATACGACATATAATTGTTTACCTTCTTTCGTTTTCGATGTTATCTAAAAATCTTAATGAATCGTCATTGTACTTCGATTTTGTTGTAGCTGCTGAACCGGTACCTAATCTTCGTTTCTTTAAATTTTTTTTATATGAATCTCTTATTGTGCGCCATCTTGTCTTACAATCATTTACTGAAAATAATTTTAGTGTATTATTTATATTTTACAGATTTTTAGCAACCGGTGAAAGTTATAAATCCCTTGCTTTTCAATTCCGAATATCTCACAGTTGGATAAGTACTATTATAAGGGAAGTATTAGTTGCTATTTGTCATCGTTTAAAAAATATAGCAATACCTGAACCAACGCAATGTAGTTTGTCGAAAGTAGCCAACGATTTCTATGAAATGTGGAATTTTCCAAATTCCTGCGGCGCCATAGACGGGAAGCACATACGGATCGTTTGCCCTGATAACTCTGGATCGCTGTTTTTTAATTACAAGTCATTTTTTTCAATTGTGTTATTGGCTTTAGTTGACGCGAATAACAAGTTTCTGGTGGTAGACATAGGATCGTATGGTAAAGAAGGCGATGCAGAAATTTTCCCTAAATCTAATTTGGGCAAATCAATATCAACCGGAGAATTCAAATTTCCAGAACCAAAATGTTTACCAAACACTGATGTAGTATTGCCACAAGTATTTGTCGGTGACGAAGCATTTAAATTGACGGAGACAATGATGAGGCCTTATCCCCGAAACCAATCAAAACTAAATCCAAAGAAAGCCATTTCTAATTACCGCCTAGATCGAGCTCGAAGAACCACAGAAAATACGTTTGGCATAATGTGTCAATACTTTCGTGTATTTTTCACGCCAATTAATATTCTGCCTGACACAGTCGACAATTTAATAATGGCCGCATGTATTATTCATAACCTGTTACGAGAAGAACGAATGGTGTGTCCTATGGATTCGACAGACAGAGATCCCATAACAGACGTTCAAACGAACACGAACATGATACAATTTGGTGCAGTTGGAGGAAACGCAACTCATGAAGCTTTTCGAGTTAGGGAAACTTTTAAAGATTATTTTAACAGTAGGTCAGGATCAGTGAGTTGGCAGCAAAAACACGTGACTCGTACTAATTAAGATAGTGTTGTTATATATTGTATTGACTGTTTAGAAAAATTATTAGTAGTCCAAATATGATTTAACTATTTTCATATTATATTCAGTGTAATATTATTTATAATGTAAAATTAAGTTTATTATTATCAACTAACATATTATTCTAAGTTATAAAACCAAACATTATATGTATATAAGTTTATTTTCGGTCACTATAAATTATCACATATAGATATTATTAAACTAAAACATTCTGTATTATTAGAAATGTAAGTAAATTATTTAATTTTAGATAAGATTTTATTCAGTCATATATTGATATTCTATAAATATCAAATTTTCTTGACGGTTGTCTCGTATTCGTTATTCAAGAACAAACAATTTGAATCACAAATCATAATATTTTCTTATATGATATTACTATCTTACTATCTTTTTAACTTATAATTTATATTAATTTTCTAATGACATTACATACCGTTTTTTCCAATGGACTGTGAAATTTCTTTCCAAACATTATCTTTAATGCAATTATCCTTATAATTTTTGTCACTCAATTTATAAATGACAGGATAGTTACGAATAACTTCTATGAGTTTTTCGTCATCCATAACATTAAATGCCCTCGACTCCATAGTTCACCAAAACTAATTAAAAAAAGACATTGAAAATTGTAATAATTGACAAAAAAAAAAATTATTTGTTATTTATATAGCTTATATTTGAAAATTATTCTTACTTCTACAGTTCTACCTGCCGTTTGATTTGACTTGATATTGATAATAAAAATCAAATAAACATATAATACAATTATATATTAATTAAATAATATATTAAAATAAATGCAATCCCGCAATGCGTTTCACGCAGAAGTTGACTTCGTGGCGACAGCTGCGTGACTGAAGTGCGTGATCGACAATCACGCATGCGTGATTGTAGGAAACCACTGCTTAAGGCTGGCACAACCGATCTCCCGAAATTCGATTTTGGTGATAACTCGTTGTTATCGAAATTGGGAGAACTGTACTAGTACGGCCCGGCGCTGGATCCACATGAGCTTGTCTACTCGGCCTTTACAGTACTCTAGGGTGGATGCCCACACCGGTTTCCCGTATAGCAGCATGGACTGAATGACGCTGACGAAAAAGTCTTTTTCGCGGCTCCTTAGGTCCTCCAAGGTTAGGTTAGGTTAACTTCTGCCTAGTGCCGTCATCAATTTACTCGCCTTGTCTGCTGTCGCTTGAATGTGGACGTTGTATCTGAGGCTCCTTTATTATATATTTTTTTTTTTTGAAATTAATCCCATCCCTAATTTTCTCTTTGTTTTCATGATGTTTGTTGTAACCCATGCAGCAGACTTTTCATCAAAGGACGTCTTTAGATCTGAAACTCTTTCCCAAGCTTTTTGTTCTAAAATCAAATCAGCTTTGTGTCTAGATTTAGTATCTTGTTACGTGCCAACCGATCGATCTGATTATTCAGTTACAACTTCTCTGTCAACGCTTGAGTGGAAGTGTAGTCAGGAATAATTAAGACTTCTTTTTAAAATAATTAAATTTATTTAACTTATAAAAATTATCCTAACTACAAAATTCTGTAAATATTCT